TAGTTAGCCCATCGTCTAGTTACGACCCAATCTTAATCTGTAGCAGATAATTTTTAGAACTTTGTTCTGTACTTCTATACGATTACAATGCATTTCGTAGTAAGGGGACCATATAACACAGCCATGCTCAAGCGTATTACGTTTTCGAAGTAAGCGTTGTCGTGTCGTGACGTATGAATAGTCTCTAGCAATGGCCTTGTTGCGGGTTAGTTACCTCCAGTCATAATGTTATTATTGTATTTGTTAATTTTTTTTTTGCGTTGTTCAATTATATGATAAAGCTGTGCGTAGCTGTTAGTGGAATGCAGATTTATTTTCTACTTAATATAGCAATATTAATTTGTATTAGCAATATAAATTTGTGTTCTGTAGCTGTGCCAATAAATAAATAAATAAATAAATAATATGGATCTTGAATACCAACTACGGGCTTTACATTGCGAGTTTCAAGTGCTTTCTGTGTAGTTACCGCCTACAGCTTTTTTGTAGAGAAGTATTAACAACAATTTATATTGTATTAATTAACCGCTACGACAACAAAGTAATGACATTTCTGTTTGGATGTACTGTCCATGAAAGGGTTAATAAGGTGCGTATAGAAATATATAATACAATTACTGTTTTTTACAAATATACAAAGTTTATAGGTATTATTTCTCCCACACCGCTTTATACAGTGTTTTTGTTAAATCGGACAGTATGGGCAAATCCGAAAATGTCTTAGGAACCATTAAGGCTTTCTGTGAAAACAATTTTGGCATAATCAACTTTTTGGTCAAGAGTAAGTAAACCAAAATTTTGCAAGTTGCTAGATAAAGAAATATATATCTCTATATAAAAGTTATAATACAAAGTTAGATATTTTATAGTTAAATAATTCATTTTAGATTTTTATTTTAGCCTGTTTTCAGGATTTTATATAATCGGTAACACTCACTAGGCAAATGGCATGGGTGTGGTTGCTGTGGTTGCTTTCTCAAACATGGATCACGATTCATATTTGGACATCGAAGGCGGAACGTCTGGCTTCAACAGAAAAGCTGTTTGTGGTGCCAATGTATAATGGACTGTGTAAAGTACATCGTATCATGTAACAAACACATTAGCACATTCTTTAGACAATGTCCTTGCGTGTGTCTAAAACCGATATTTAATAGTACATACCTAAACCATTCGATTTTTCGATTTCTCCTACGTGGACTCGCCTTAAGTCTGGCTAGCTAAAAAAGAAGTGCCCCAAAACGTGTAAGGGCACGTTTCTATTATGTCGTGAGTTTTATTAATCGTTTGACGACTGTCGTGTCTAGACTGTTTCCATATCACGACTATCTGTCGTGGACGTTTATTTTATCGTTGTACGACATAATGGGAACGCGCCCTTTAAGCTTGCCAACACGCGGAGACTTTTCGGCACGTGTCATCAACGCTGACTTCACCGGTAGTACCACATGTAAGACTGCAATACGTACGTATTAACATATATACTTACCTTCCCGAAGCTGTGGCCGTGTCGTGGGTATAATAGTGAAAGGGTTGTAACCCTAACTAGCCGTGAACAGGTTCACGGCAATGAAACGGGAAATTTCCGGTTCACAAAATTTATTAAAGAAATAAAGTTTGAAGAAAGGGCCCTAAATGGGCCGAGTAACTGAATTACAGATTTAAGTACATGAAGGCTGTAGACTTATAAATTATTACACACGATTTAGCTTATTAAATGATTATAAACGCAGTAAAGAAACAAAATAAGCGAATTTGGAACAGCTCCGACTGTTGTGGCGGCCGAGCTGGGGGTGACCGTGGTACGAAAACAAAATGAGAAAGTGAAGGAAGATGGAACAATTCAAATTTAAAATTTAAATACATGTAAAATAAAAAATTATAGGATACAAGCGGAGAGAGGCGATATAAAGAGGTGTGATGACGGTGTAAGGAGGTCACACAGTCACAATAGTGTTTAAAACTGGCCGTCTGCTGCTGGAACAAAAATCAGTCGTTAAAAAACCGCAGATACGGCAGCACATGGTCGATTGTTTGACCCTGTCTCAGTTCCATAGAGTACTTACTTTATTATCTTTAGTTCGCAGATGACTAGCAGGTTGGACGTACGTTACTTCCTCCGTTTTATACTTATCTTTCTTATCGCGAACGAAACATTTTCGTGTGTATCGTGTGTTTAAGCGTATACGAAAATAAACCAATAAATAACCTTAACACGTCTTTATCATTGTCAGAGATGGAAAAAAACTGCTTACGTTTTTTAGTTTGAAGTTTATAAAATCGTTTCGAGAAACGTCTAAACGCATAGACTTTTATGTTAAAAAAAGCCTGCAACGTTGTGTTGATAGCGAAAAGACACTAGAGGTTTTAGATAAGTAAGTTTATTTGTAAAACTCGTTTATTATTCAAATTGATTAATTTATTTGGTTAGAAAATATAGATGGCGGGACTTGAAACATAAGAACGTTTTTAACGCTTACGCTTAAATAAAAAAGCGTGCTTATGTGTTTATTTTAAAAGGCAAACTTTTTGAAGTGCTTTTCGTTTAAACGCCCACTTCTAACCACTATGCGTCATCTGATCATTCGACCAATCAGACGGGTTAATTAGTCTTTAACGTTCTTTTTTTTTCAAATAAATTAGGAACAGACATGTGTATAAAATGACTTGATTAACCGACTTCAAAAAAGAGGAGGTTTTCAATTCAACTGCTTTTTTCGTGTTAATGTTAGGCGATTACTATCGACATTTGTCAACCGATTTCGATGATTCTGTTTATGTTAGAAAAGAGGTACCTCAATAGTGGTCCAATTCAAATTTGAAGAAAATATTGCTGGCAAATTAGGAGATGAATTCGGTTTATTGGATTTCAGCCACTTTCCATTAACCGGTTTCAATAAAACTCGGCAGAAAAGTTGTAATATTTTCTGTTATGTAACAAATAAAAATTATAAGAAAACATATTATTAAATTAAATTTAAATTAATTAATTAGACATCTTCAGATACGTTGTTCTGATCCCAATGCAAGTAGCTAAAGCGTTAAAGTTAAAGAGTTAGAAAAGTATAGAGTTAGTGCTAAAGAGACAACGACGGCACCACAAACACCCAGACCGGACACAATATAGAAAATTTAATTTCCACATTGACCCAACCGGGGATCGAACCCGGGACCTCGGAGATGGCGATACCATGAAAACAGGTGTGCAAGCCAGTCGACCACAGAGGTCAAATGTCGATGAAGTCGTCGTACAAATGACATTAAGGGAAATAAAATTATATCCCAAGTGACTTAATATAGACATATCTTAGGAGACAATATCAATAATATATTATCTTAATGTATACGTATGTGTATAATTAAACAATAAAATTGTCTTTTCAGATGACAACTGCATTAATTTCTTTGATTTATGTATCTAAGAGAAAAACGCTAGTCAGTGAGTAGTATCAATGGGCATTATGTAGTTATGGATGTTTGGTAACATATTGTGTTAAATTATCAGAGTAAAATAGTGGCTTTATCGCGAATTGCAAATACAGCATGCCAACGACAGAGGCAATGGCGTCGTTAAGTGACAAATAAATGAATGAACTTTATTGTATCTATTGCATTACCTGTGAAGACATGTTCTACTTGCCATGGCGAGTAATACTGAGTGTGAATCTGAGAAATTATATGGTTACGATGAAGCAGTGGATTTGACAGGTGAGTTTTAATTAAATTTACAGTTTGAATTCACTTTTATTGCCGGTAAGTGGTTACTGTAGTCTATAAACGGTAAGTCGGTAGGAGCCTTCTTTATTGTGGGGAAATCCTCGTACAATATCTCTTTTCAGCGGGGGCAGCGGAGTGGTTACTTCTACCGACTAAAACCCCACAGTGGCCTTCTTAGGTGCTGTAGTGGGGTAAATCAACATTCCATATAATTAAACACCACTTTTAGTCGCGTTTGTTGTTTTATTCTGATTACAACTCGTTTATTCATACAACCCAAGCTTCAACCGTAGATTCAACAGACAATGGTTTTTTGATATTTATGATGAAATTATTAAAAGATATGTAAATCATAGATAAAAAAACAATTCCAGTATCTTTCATGAGCATCATATCATTCAAGCATCATCATTATTTCAGCTGAAAGACGTCCACTGCAGGACATAGGCCAAAAAGACGTCCACTGCAGG